TTGCTTTCCCTCATCTATATATTTATTTTCATAATTATATGAATATTATATACAATATTATTGTTCGTGTCTAACACCTGTACCCTGCAGACATCCATTTCTCATTAGCGTTAACTCACTTTGTGTTCCAAAAGTGTTTTAAAAATAAGACAACATCTCACATAATATCTTCCTTCACTGAGATTGGTTCCTTGTAAGAGCCCAGATGATTGGAAGACAGTTCCCTTGATCTCGTCAATATTAAGGTCTCTCTCTCTCTTTCTACGTCGTATTGAAGACGAAAGGCTATATAGTCTGTAAGGCTATTGGATTCTTTTGGCTAAATTCCTGATATTGGTAATAGTGGGATTGGAGAAGCGTGATGGGTTTGTTGGCTGTGTCCTCTGGCCTGACGTTATGGGGTCAAAGGGCACTGGTTCGGTGTTTAGAATGAACAAGATATAGCTGACATTCTCAGTGCTAGAACACGCTGATATAGCTGACGTTCTCAGTGCTAGAACACGCTGATATAGCTGACGTTCTCAGTGCTAGAACACGCTGATATAGCTGACATTCTCAGTGCTAGAACACACTGATATAGCTGATATTCTCAGTGCTAGAACACACTGATATAGCTGATATTCTCAGTGCTAGAACACGCTGATATAGCTGACATTCTCAGTGCTAGAACACACTGATATAGCCGACATTCTCAGTGCTAGAACACACTGATATAGCTGACGTTCTCAGTGCTAGAACACGCTGATATAGCTGACAGTCTCAGTGCTAGAACACACTGATATAGCTGACATTCTCAGTGCTAGAACACACTGATATAGCTGACGTTCTCAGTGCTAGAACACATTGATATAGCTGACATTCTCAGTGCTAGAACACACTGATATAGCTGACAGTCTCAGTGCTAGAACACGCTGATATAGCTGACGTTCTCAGTGCTAGAACACACTGATATAGCTGACGTTCTCAGTGCTAGAACACATTGATATAGCTGACATTCTCAGTGCTAGAACACACTGATATAGCTGACATTCTCAGTGCCAGCTAGAAACCTCCTATATGAGGCCACAGCGTCGTTCGGCCCCCATAGTTAGCCGAGTGATAGCTGACGCAAGGAGTCACGTGTAAATGAGCATTGTTAACGACATTAAAGATACCTCAAATGTATAAACTATGGTACCTGATACAGGTAATACCTGAGGCAATATATATATATATATATATATATATATATATATATATGTCGTACCTAGTAGCCAGAACGCACTTCTCAGCCTACTATGCAAGGCCCGATTTGCCTAATAAGCCAAGTTTTCATGAATAAATTGTTTTTCGGCTACCTAACCTAACCTAACCTAACTTTTTCGGCTACCTAACCTAACCTAACCTATAAAGATAGGTTAGGTTAGGTTAGGTAGGGTTGGTTAGGTAGGGTTGGTTAGGTAGGGTTGGTTAGGTTCGGTCGAATATCTACGTTAATTTTAACTCCAATAAAAAAAAAATTGACCTCATACATAAGGAAATGGGTAGCTTTATCATTTCATAAGAAAAAAATTAGAGAACATATATTATTTCAGGAAAACTTGGCTTATTAGGCAAATCGGGCCTTGCAAAGTAGGCTGAAAAGTGCGTTCTGGCTACTAGGTACGACATATATATATATATATATATATATATATATATATATATATATATATATATATATATATATATATATATATATATATATATATTGCCTCAGGTATTACCTGTATCAGGTACCATAGTTTATACATTTGAGGTATCTTTAATGTCGTTAACAATGCTCATTTACACGTATATATATATATATATATATATATATATATATATATATATATATATATATATATATATATATATATATATATATATATATATATATATCTATATCCGCCCTTCCCGTACCTTTCATGGCTCAAAGCTCCGGGAAAATCCGGATAATCCGTGTGATCGGTTAAAAATTTCGGTCTCATCAATTTTGTAACCCGCAGCAAAATCCTGTAGTAACGTAGTTCTTCAGCGTTGTTAGTGATGATATCTGCGTTGTTGTGGTGGTTTTGTTGGTTGGGGGGGGGGGGGTAGGTGATTGGTGGGGGGGTAGGTGATTGGTGGGGGGGTAGTGATTGGTGGGGGGGGGGGGTAGGTGATTGGTTGGGGGTAGGTGATTGGTGGGGGGTAGGTGATTGGTGGGGGGGTAGGTGATTGGTGGGGGGGTAGGTGATTGGTGGGGGGGTAGGTGATTGGTGGGGGGGGTAGGTGATTGGTGGGGGGGTAGGTGATTGGTGGGGGGGTAGGTGATTGGTGGGGGGGGTAGGTGATTGGTGGGGGGGGGGTAGGTGGTTGTTGGTTGGGGGTAGGTGATTGGTGGGGGGGTAGGTGATTGGTGGGGGGGGTAGGTGATTGGTGGGGGGGTAGGTGATTGGTGGGGGGGGGGTAGGTGGTTGTTGGTTGGGGGTAGGTGATTGGTGGGGGGGTAGGTGATTGGTGGGGGGGTAGGTGATTGGTGAGGGGGGGTAGGTGGTTGTTGGTTGGGGGTAGGTGATTGGTGGGGGGGTAGGTGATTGGTGGGGGGTAGGTGATTGGTGAGGGGGTAGGTGATTGGTGGGGGGGGTAGGTGATTGGTGGGGGGGTAGGTGATTGGGGGGGGGGTAGGTGATTGGTGGGGGGGTAGGTGATTGGTGGGGGGGGGGGTAGGTGGTTGTTGGTTGGGGGTAGGTGATTGGTGGGGGGGTAGGTGATTGGTGGGGGGGTAGGTGATTGGTGGGGGGGGTAGGTGATTGGTGGGGGGGTAGGTGATTGGTGGGGGGTAGGTGATTGGTGGGGGGTAGGTGATTGGTGGGGGTGTAGGTGATTGGTGGGGGGGTAGGTGATTGGTTGGGGGTGTAGGTGATTGGTTGGGAGGGTAGGTGATTGGTTGGGGGGGTAGGTGATTGGTTGGGGGGGTAGGTGATTGGTTGGGGGGGTAAGTGATTGGTTGGGGGGTAGGTGATTGGTGGGGGGGGGGTAGGTGATTGGTGGGGGGTAGGTGATTGGTGGGGGTAGGTGATTGGGAGGGTGGGGGGGTAGGTGATTGGTGGGGGGTAGGTGATTGGTTGGGGTATAGGTGATGGTGGGGATAGGTGATTGGCTGGGGGGATAGGTGATTGGTTGGGGGGTAGGTGATTGGTTGGGGGATAGGTGATTGGTGGGGGGTAGGTGATTGGTTGGGGTATAGGTGATTGGTGGGGATAGGTGATTGGCTGGGGGGATAGGTGATTGGTTGGGGGGTAGGTGATTGGTTGGGGGATAGGTGATTGGTGGGGGATAGGTGATTGGTTGGGGATAGGTGATTGGTTGGGGATAGGTGATTGGTTGGGGGGATAGGTGATTGGTGGGGAGATAGGTGATTGGCTGGGGGATAGGTGATTGGTTGGGGGGTAGGTGATTGGTGGGGATAGGTGATTGGTTGGGGATAGGTGATTGGGGGGGATAGGTGATTGGTGGGGATAGGTGATTGGTTGGGGGGGGTAGGTGATTGGTTGGGGGTAGGTGATTGGTTGGGGGGGTAGGTGATTGGTTGGGGGGTAGGTGATTGGTTGGGGGGTAGGTGATTGGTGGGGGGTGTAGGTGATTGGTTGCGGGATAGGTGATTGGTTGGGGGGGTAGGTGATTGGTGGGGGTGTAGGTG